AAATTAGCATCCCCATAAAGCTCGTCTGCGGAAGGAAGCATGAAGTGCTCCAAAATCTCCTGGTAGACGGCTGCGTTGACCCTGGACTTAATGAAGCACAGTGGACCAACACCAGCAGAGGACATGGCTCCCCAAATCAACACAGACTGTGGAAACTTCACACTGGACTTCAAGCATCTGGTCGTGTGTGCCTCTAATCTTCCTCCAGACTCTAGGTCTTTGGTTTCCAAATGAGATGCAAAAGTTTCTCTCATCAGAAAAGAGGATTCTGGACCACTGAGCAACAGACCAGTTCTGTTTTTCTTTATCCCAGGTAAGACGCTTCTGACGTTGTTCAGGAGTGGCTTGACAAGAGGAATACAACATTTGAAGCCCATGTCCAGGATCTGTCTGTGTGCGGTGGCTCTTGATGCACTGACTCCAGCCTCAGTCCACTCCTTGTGAAAGTCCCCAACACTTTTGAATGGCCTTTCTCCACTGAGCCTAAGGGAGAATTCAGGATGGGTATTCTCTAGTCTCCTAGCTCTGCAGACCGAGTTGAAAAACTGAGGACACACCCCCTGGTAACAGTCCCCAGTTCTTCACTTGGTCTCAGAGTGTTCAGACCACCCTTTAAGGGCTCTGAATAGTTAGGAATGTAGAAGAATATTCACCCCCTGGATTAAGCTTTTTTTCGCAGAGAGGCTTAGATCAGGTTTGACAGCTAGCCAGCTTGCTGGTTTATCACTTTCATTTTTTCGCGCCTTTTTTCCAGTTCACATTTTTTTGCTTATTAATTTAATTTTGGACTTTTCTTGCTGGTGAACTGGTTTTTGGTTTGTTTTCTGTCAGAATTTGAGTGGAGGTGACCCTGAGAGCCCGTGTGGCCCAGGCTGGGGTGGGAGTCGGCGTCTTCTTTAACTTGCCTCCTCCCGATCCACTTTCTCTTGCCTGGGATGAGCTGCAGGCTGCCGCTAAGCACTTCTGTCCCTTTTCAGCGGCAGCGGCCATTTATTTTGTTCAGGGACAATCTTGCAGTTTGTCTCCAGGATTGTCCTGGGGGGGGGGGCTCTGGTCATCGGGATTAAATCCTGACCCCCCCATCCAGTCCCCAGAGTACCATGGCAGCTGCGAGATGCTTGAGTCTGCCTGATAACTGCAGTGCAGCCAGTGCCAGGCTCGCAAGCCTCTGACCTGTCAGGGCTTGCTGCAATTCAAAGAGGCAGCCGTTTGTTGTTGTTTTGACTTTTTTCCTTGACTCAGCTTTTGAATTGCGGAGCTGGGCTGAGCTCACCACTTTGGGTCACAGTAGCCTCCTGAAGTGGTGGACAGCTACTGTGGCTGTAGCTGATAGCTTAGGCTGAATATTTTTTATTTTATTTTATTTTTACTTCTTTCTCCCTTTCTCTACCCCTGTCAAGTGACAGTTATTTTTTCGCGGGCTCAAAGATGGCCGCCATGGGAGCTGATCAAGAATTGTTAGTTCCTCAGCAGGGTAGAGAGAAGGCTGTAAAGGGATCCCCCAAGTCCAGGTCTGCTGGTCTGGAGGCAGCAGCTAGGATTAAAGCCAGGGCTCTAGTCCCTAAGAGATCCTCTAGGGCTGAGGATAGACAGGCCAGGCGTAGACAAAAAGGCATAAACAAACAGTTTGACAGGGCAGTGAGAGATTCCAGGATGGCTGAATACAGAGCCACCCCTCAAACTTTGCCTCCTTAAGATGAAAAGCAGCCAGATAGGCAGTATATAATGGCCTGGTCTCCTGGGGGCTCAAGTACCCACAATTTGCAGGGTAACCTCCAAATCAGGGCTGAGATCTCTCACAATTTTTCTGAGCCACCTCAGGGGACCTTGATGGCGCCACCTGCAGACCAAGTGCTGCTGAACAGCCGGTCCACTTCAGAGAGCGCTCGGCCTCCCCTTCAGAAAGCAGCCAAATTTATGGCTCCAAAAGGGACCTCCTTCCAGAAAGGGATTTTTTGGATGTGGAGCCGGAGGTAGCAGGTCCCCGCTCCTTTATGGGCCTTTTCCAGCCTGCTCTTTTCAAGACTTTGCTGGTTAAGGCCAAGAGCACAGCTCATCTTACAAAGGACATGGTTACTCAGGACCTTCCCACTGAGGGAGAGGATCAGGAGGATTTCCTGTTCACTGAGAAAGCATCTGTGGTGGACGCTGTACCTGTGCCCCAGATGTTTCTGAACCTGATCAAAAAACAGTGGGAGTCCCCTGGGATGTACACTCACCCCAGTGAGTCTGAGTCTACCTTATTTAATGTGGACAAAGACCTTTTGGACATTATGGAAGTGCCAAAGGTAGATGGCCCAGTAGTAGCCCTAGCTTCCTCATCTGTCATCCCACATGATGCGGAGGATGTTCTAAAGACAGAGGACCAGAAGGAGGAGATGGCGCTCCGGAGAGCTCATCAAGCCAACTCCTGGACCATCAGAGCATTGACGACCGCATCTTTTTTTTACTCGGGCCTCTTTGCGGTGGCTGAGGCAGCTACAGGACAGAATCCCACCTGAGGATCTCAGGGTGCATCAGGACCTGGATAAGATTATAGCTGCGGCTCAATTAACTGCTGATGCCACCCTCATGTCAGCCAAATTTTCTTCCAGAGCCATGGCCTCTTCCATAACAGCACGCAGGCTTCTTTGGCTAAGAAATTGGCAGGTGGACGTCAGAACCAAATAGAAGCTGGTGTCAGCTCCCTTTAAGGGAGAGAGGCTTTTGGGGGAAGCCCTGGATCCCTTTTTGATGGAAACCAGGGGCAAGCGAAAGATCCTGCCCTCCCAGGGGAGGCGCTTAGATTACAGGTCTCATACTACTACAGGAAGCCCTCCTTTAAACAGGGGGAAGCTGGGACACGCCCTTTTTCCAGAGATCCTCCTCTCAGGCCGATAGACAGGCCTTTGCCACCAGAGGGCATCAGAGGCAAGAGGGCAGAAGGTCCTTTAGGGGTTCCAACAGACCCTTTAGGTGCAATAAGTGACGCCTGAGCCTCATCCCCCATAGGGGGCTGTCTGGGACTGTTCTGGCAGAGGTGGGAACAGACCACAACGGACGTTTGGATCCTGTCAACCTTACGGTCGGTTCTCTCTCTAGAGTTTCTCTCTTCCTCCCCCAGAGCCTTTGTGTTCTGCCCCATCTCCAGGGACCCCTCAAAGAGGGATCTCATGGAATCAGCGATCCACCATCTGCTGGACATTCGGGCCATCCAGCCAGTTCTGGTGGACCAGGAGAGACAGGGTTTCTATTCAATGTTGTTTGTGATTCCAAAGGCCTCGGGAGGGGGGGGGTTGGCAAGGAATCCTCAACCTGAAAGGGCTCAACAGACATCTAATCTACCAAAGGTTCAAGATGCACTCCCTCCACTCCATTCTAGAGGTACTGCGGGAGGGAGATTTTTTTGGCCTCGGTAGACTTGATGGAGGCCTACCTCCATGTGACCATACACCCCAACCACCGTCAGTTCCTGAGGTTTTGCTATGGCAGCCGCCATTTTCAATACAGGGCTCTACCGTTCGGCCTGTCATCAGCCCCTTGGGCTTTTACCAAACTCTTGGCAGCGGTAGCGGCACACCTCAGAACCTTACCCATAAGGATCCAATGCTATTTGGACGACATCCTGATAGCATCCGCTTCCAGACCCCAGGTGGAGGAGTATCTGATGTCGACAATCAGGATTTGTCAAGAGCATGGGTTCTTGATAAACCTGGACAAATGCCACCTAGTACCATCAACTTGGATCTTGCATTTGGGGGCCATTATAGACACCTTGGCCGGACAGGGTTTTCTCTCACAGGAGCATCAAGACAGTATCAGGGAAGTCACGTCGCTGATCCTGTCTTCCAGAGAGGCACCTATCATCTTGCTGTCTCAACTTCTCAGCAAGATGATATCGTGCATTGGGATCGTCCCATGGGCCCACTTCCATGCCCAAACCCTTCAGTGGTTCCTGCTCCCTTACCAGAGGGCGAGCAGGGGCGACTCTCCAGGGAGGGTTCGTGTCCCCTTGCCAGTTCTTCGTTCCCTCCATTGGTGGCAGTCCCGAGCCATGGATCAGGGATGCTTGTACAGGGAACCCCAGAGGATTACCATCACCACCGACACCAGTCTCTATGGTTGGGGGGGCCCACTTGGGAGCCCAGGTCACCCAGGGGAGGTGGTCACGAGAGGAGCTCGCCAACAACATAAATTGGCTAGAGCTCAGGGCTGCCCACTTAGCACTCAAGGATCTAAGGCAAGAGGTGGTGGGGAGACATGTGCTTCTCCTTACGGACAATGTGGCTACCAAGGCCCACATAAACCGGCAGGGGGGAACACGCTCCAGATCTCTAATGCTGGAAGCAACTCAATTGTGCAGGTGGGCAGAGAGGAACCTGTTGTCCCTAAGAGCAGAACATATCTTGGGAATATCCAATGTGCAGGCAGACTGGTTGAGCAGGGCCACAGTCGACCAGTCAGAATGGCGATTGCATCCCATTGAGTCACGTACTGTTACTAGGTAACAGTATATGTTTTTCGTATGAATCATTGTTATCATTGAGCCATTAATTGCTGGATAGAACTGGAATGTGCAATTTCTCTTTGGTTTAAAGCAACCAATGATTTAGAGGTTTGTCTATATTTTTTACAATGCTATATAAGCTATATGGATATCCAGTCTTAACTTTGGCATTTATGCTGGTAGATTACTTGCTCTTTCAAGTCTCTCACATATCTCTTTCCACCTAAGTTTTATGACATATGACAATGCTTACTAACACTGGTGAACAATTATTGCTGGAAATGTTAAAAATAGAAGTTGTGTTCTTTAGTAGTTTAAGAACTTGTGAGAATTTACTGCAACAACTGTGGTAACTACTTACAAGTTGCCAACTAAGTGAAACAGGATTTAATAGTTTTTACCGAAGAATTAAGTGAATAAAGTCTATGCCAACACTGCTGATAAAAATATTTTGGTACTGATTATTTCAAAATTGGTACATCTAGTAATGAACTTTTCTCTCTTCTTTTTTCAGAGCTACATATTTTAAATATTATAAACATCTAGCTACAATAAGGAGAAAAAATATAGCTGTAATTGAATGAGGAATCTGTTGCTTCAGTAGCCTTTTTCTTCAAGAGTGGGTCTTTGAATGAGGATGACAATGGAAGAGATGAGGAATGAAGCAGAGACCACTTCTATGGTTTCCATGCCTCTTTATGCAGTTATGTATCCTGTCTTTAATGAGGTAATAGGTTCAATTTTATTTTCTTTGCAATATAGTACTTGGGAAACAAAATTTTGAGTTGGCTACTATCTTGCTTATATTAGTACTCATGTTCTTCTTATGAGTTCTGCTTCCTTTCTATCCATATTTCTTGGCTTCATGACAGACTGCTTGGTTTGTTGGAATTTAATTCCTTAATTCTGAGTATTATATTCTACATTTATAAATTCTCAAGATGCATTCTAGCATTATACAAGAGACTGGAATGTAGACTTCATTGTTTAATTAACATTTCAGATTAGGCAGACATATTTTATAAGGTGGAAAGTTTTATGCCTTTTGCAGCTACTTGGTTTTATAGAAATGTTTTCTGTTAAACATTACAGAATCTGTTTGTATAGATGAGAAACAATAAATGTATTTAGGCTTTGAACAAATGAAAATGAGATGGTTTTAGGTTATTCATCAAGAAAATATTCTTATTTTCTGTATTCATAGAAATGGTGTCATTTGTTACACATTTATTCTGAAGGGTTATTTTGATCAGACAGTCTAAAATAATAATAAGACTATATTTTTGGCTTGCCATCTTTGCCCTTCATAGGAGAGTTATTTATGTTTAATATTTTGTTTTCCCTGACACCTATATAGGCTAATTTCATAGAGCATCATCTGCTATACAAACATTTATCTGTTAAATGTTGTATCTGTTTATATGTTCCAAATGTGTGGATTTCATCTACCCAGAATTTTCAGGAATAGTCATGCTGGTTGAGAATTGTGGTCCACACATCCTGAGTCACAAGTTATGAAAAGTGTTATGGCAGAACATGACAGCAAAACTTTTTCAGATAGTCTTTTTAAGACTATTTCATTAGATTCTTTTTATTGGATATGATTATTTTCTGCTTATAAGAGGCTTGCAGTACTTGAGCTGCAAAAATCTTATCCAGATCAACAAAAATCCTTTAAAATATTATCAGTAATGATACTGTATTTTAACCTCTTATTTATTTGATATAACTGTTTGTTTCTAATTTTCGCAGCTAGAACGAGTAAATCTGTCAGCAGCTCAAACATTGAGAGCAGCTTTTATTAAGGTGAGAATAATATATATTTGCTTATATAACACCAAAATATGAATATATTATATTAAGATATAAACATTAAAATATTGTAAAATTCTGCAAAGTAGATTTAGTTACTAATTCTAACTTAAAATAACATTGTTTTTCTGCTCTAAGGAAAAAGTGTGTAGTCAATCAGTTTATTTATAAACCTTATTTTCCAGAAATAGATACCCTCAGATAATAGCTTAATATTAAATTTAAAGAATAAGCTGAAATTAAGATATTAACTCATTGGTTATGATTCATTTATGTTTATGAAACTTCAATGGGTATAATACATGGGAATAGGTAAGCTAACAATACTAACAAATTTAACGTTATATTTCGTTAAAGATTTTCATTCACAACTTTCACATTAACATATCTAACACTTGGCACTTGTTCATTTTAAGTTAAGACCAGGTAGTAGAAAGATATGGTAAAATATTATGAAGCCTTTTGAACATCAGAAAGATTCTTCTTTTCATCTAAGTCCTCTGTCTTGATATCCTCATTCTGGTTGACAGTGAAGGTCTAGGAAAGAAACAGTCCCTTCCCTGCCCTCCCCTGGACACATATTTTCAGTAAAAGAGTGTTGAAGAGATCACAAAGCTCCTTCACAGATGTTTGAAAGACATCAACTACTTAGATGATTAAAGTTTCCTATGATTAGCCGACTCATATTGCTAAATAGTGTCTTGATATTCTTTACCTTATTATATTTATATTTTATTTATTTATAGTATCGATATTCGTTAAATCAGAAGTATATCAGTTAAAAATAGAGTTTCTCTAATTTATAATTGAGACAATTAAAATCATTTCAGTTTGTCTTATAAAGTTATCCTAAGAAAATATTGACCCATAGTTTATTGTCATTAATTCTATGATTGAATTTTAGTGCAGGCATTCCCTGGATTAAGAATGTCCGATTTATAGGCAAGTTATGCTTACAAACAGGCTGCCTATTGCTAGAAATGGTAGACAGTATTCTCCTTTCTCAAGATGATAAACTATTGAATCTATATGGACTTCTGATATACATTTTTATATACAGTCAGTTTCTAGTAGTTTATAAAAAGATTGTGTGCCTTCAGAAGTTCGTCAGCTCAAGGAAGGAGAATGCCATCCACCATTTCTAGTAATTGGCAATTTGTTTGTAAGTATGAGTTCTGACTTAGGTGCACATTCAGTTTAAAGAGAGATTGAAGAATGGAACTTGTTCTTAATCTGGGGACTGCCTGTATTAAACAATCTTTTTAAGCCTGAAAAATGAGTACTCTAAAAACACTCTGAAATGTTTCTTAAAACACTCTGAAATGTTTCTTTAAAAAGGAATTCAGGAAAAATAAGATTTTGCAGTGTTTTGGGACAATGTAATGTCTGATATGTTGCCTGTTTATGTTACTTATCTAACTTATGGGTAGTTTTGAAAAATAATTCTAATGGTAGCTTGAAAAATAAGTGAAAACAGAGAAGCTTGCTGCCTTTCTTAATTTCATTTAGCTCATGTCATAAGGAAACAAAGACAAATGTCATATAAAGTTTTCACAGATAGTCCTTGAGTTATGTGTATGCATCCCACAACTGTTCAAATTTATAATATTGCTGAACAGATAATAGTTATGACCACCCCTTGAAATACTAGCTGTTGTAGCATCCCCACAGTCATGGGGTCAAAATTTGGGTGCTTGGCAACCAACTCACATTTACAACTGATCATAGTGTCCCATAGTCATATTCTCCTGCTCTGTTCAAACTACCTCTGCTTCAGCTCCTCATATGTGCCTATCCATCCCCCATCGGTGCCCTTTTGACTGCCCTGCATTCCACCACCTGTCCCTGCTGTTGTTGCCACCAATTGACTTTCATCGTCATTTTTCTCCCATTGCTGACCCAAGGGCTGGGTGAGGTTGCAAGCCCAGGATCTGTATGGTTAGTGAAGCAGGGAAGTGAAGCTTCATCTGCCCAAGAGAACTTGCTGGCCCCAATCAGGGAGGACACTGGAGAAGCAAGAAGACCTCGCTTAATGGCCACACAGTCCTCATCTAATGCCCTCAAGGGTTGCCAGAACTTCCATTGCTTAGCACTTTGCTTAGGAACTGCGTGTCTGGTCCCAGCTAGGATTGTAACCTGAAGACTATTAGTTAGTGTGAAAGATAGAAGAAAAAGGAATGATTCACATAAATAAATACTGCAAAGAAATTTAAAAACAGACTAATTGGGCCACATTGCAGGTGAAAATAATTATTTAGTTCAAGAAATATGGTCTTTACTTTGGAGGAAAAAATGGCAGTGCAAAAATCAATGTTTATGATAAGCCAGTTGTACTCAGATGTCTTAAAATTTGTACTGTAGTTTTGTTGGAAGCTGTTCTCCCCTTTCAATATGTCAGAAGAAATCTGAAATCTCTTCTTTGAAATACAGGCAGAAAGGGAAAACCCAGGTCTCACACAAGATATTATCATAAAAATTTTGGAGAAGAAAAGCATTGAAGTTAATTTTACTGAATCTCTTTTGCGCATGGCAGCGGATGATGTAGAAGGTATTTCCTGTCAATGGCTATTTCCTCATTAGGTTTGGGTGGGTTTATTTTTTTAAAAAGTTTGTTATTTCTGTTTTATTCATAAACACAGCTGAATTTCCAGGTTGTCACTTCAGTCTGTACATTTTACTGTTATATATTGAAATTATGTATCCTTTGTGATATTTCTTTTGATAATTCTTGTAGCTTGGTGGCTCTGTGCTAGTCTTACTTGAAAGAAAGCGGGGAAAAACAAAAAAACTTGACATTCTAATTTTTTAAAAAGCCATAGAGTAGATAGCAGAATGAAGTAAGAATTAAAGGGGATAAATACAAAAAAAATGGGTGGAGGAAATTTCTGGGAATGGAATAAAATGTATGTTTAGCCAATTCCCTATAGAACCTAGCACTGTCTTCTTTACTCAGAAATAAGATCCAATCTTCAGATCTTTAAGGAAGCTTTAAAAAGAAAGAAAAAGTTTCATCTTATGCATTAGATTTCATTACTCTGAAATGACTCTCATATAACTGGAATACTTCTCATAACTTGTGCTTTAAGAAGGTTACTCTAAATCAGGCTTGTCCAACCCGCGGCCCAGGGGCCACATGCGGCCCAGGTCACCTCGTAATGCGGCCCAGTGCCCACCCCAACCTTTGTGCCAGAGCCAGCGAGGAGGAGGAGGAGAGGCAGGGGCGTGGCGAGGCGAGCACCAGGCCAAGCAGCAACAGAAAAGGCGGGTGCCGTCAGAGCGCCACCTCCTGCTGTTGCTGCTGCCGCCCCACCGCCGCTTCTGCCCCCGCTGCCACTTCTGCCCCCGCCACCGCTTCTGCCCCTGCCGCTTCTCCCCCCACCGCCGCTGCCCCTGCCGCCGCTTCTGTCCCCGCTGCCACTTCTGCCCCCGCTGCCGCTTCTTCCCCAGCCCCCGCCGCCGCTTCTGCCTTCCAGTCCTGCCTCATCCAGCCAGGCCATTTGCAGGAGGAGAGGTAGGTGCGAGGCGGGCGAGCTTCCCCCCCCCAAAAAAAAATTTGGCTGGAAAATAAACTGTGATAAAAAAAACGTGATAAAAAACATGATAAAAAATAAATAATTTTTAATAAATAATGAATAATAAAAACATCTCACTAACTTCATTTCCAAATAAATTTAATATGTTAACTATGTTTTCTATGGTTTTTTTGGATGATCAGGTATCGTTACTGTTATTTTATTTTATGTGCGGCCCAAACCAAATTTTCATCTTCTAATGTGGCCCAGGGAAGGTGAAAGGTTGGACACCCCTGCTCTAAATTGTTCAGTTTGGGCTGACATTATATTGAATTACATCATTAGAAATCAATAGTCTTTTCCTTACAAAATAGACTTGGGATTAATTTAGTGTTCTTATTTGTTGCTTGTTTTAATTTTAACATGATTAAGGATGTTGCCAGCCCTTTTAAGTTTAATTTATAACTAACTTAGAGAAATCCATTTATATTTTCTTCCTCCTCCTCCCAGAGTACATGATTGAAAGACCAGAGCCCGAATTCCAAGACCTCAATGAAAAGGCACGAGCACTTAAACAGATTCTCAGCAAGATTCCAGATGAGATCAATGACAGAGTGAGGTTTCTTCAGACAATCAAGTAAATACTAATCAAACTAAAAAGCTATTCTAAAGTATAACTTCTTTGGCCAGCTGTGGCTTTATATTTATAGAAGAAATATTTTTTTTGTCTTGTACTGGAATTCTGATTATTACTGATATTTTATAAAATTGCTGTTTTCATTTCATGGAATTTTTGCTTCAAAATGAATGCTTACTTACTGTTGAATGGTCAAGCTGTAGGTTGGTTTTAGCTACTGGAGTAATAACCATGGATATTATAGCTATAGCAATTCTGTCAGTGATCCCTATTCTGTGCCCTTTGTACTTAAATCCTTTTATTTCTAACAATATAATCCTGTGGCAATAATGCTGCATCAGACCTGAAATCTTATAAGTCATCCCGGCAAGTTGCCCCTCTTTTATAAATTGCACTTTCCAGTCTTCTCTCACCTAAAATTGCAGTGCTTTTGAGATTTTATTCCCCATTGCTCAGAAAATTTTTACATGCTCTGAATATGAAGTTGCCTGTGCTTATTTCGGAGCCTTTTTCCTCCATTTTGGTTTGGAAACTGAGATAATCTATCTTAAAATCTTTTTCCTTTCTGCAGCACTATGCTTTTAATAATTACTTATGGAGTTTTTTCAAATGTCCAATTGCTCCCTGTTAATTCAAATAGATAGATCTCTTAGTACATATAATGTATCCAGAATTTCCCTCAAAAAAGGTGCGTGGGTCTCCTTTCACATTTTGTCCATAGTTTATTGAGTTTTCAAAACCAAAACCTATGAAGCTGATGCTTAAAATAGCTATGCAATGCAGGGGCTTATTATATATAATTGTGTAAAACAGAGCCATTAATTTTAACTTAATTCCATTTGTAAAGCTAATTATCAGAAATTTTCTGATTCCTTTGTTTAGGATTGGTGGACAGTAAGTCTACTAGAAAATAAAAATATACATGTTCTTTATTGTATAGAATAGGAATACCTTTTTTTTCTTATCTGTAACATTTTATTAAGCCATGATAATATCCAGAAGATTAGAGACTTGCTAGAAAAACCCATGTTCTTATCTGGGTTTTATCCAAAATTGTAATAGGAAGGCTTTTTTCTTTTCTTGGAGTTCATTTTTTTAGGATCCAACTCGATAAAAGGGAGATAGATGTCTCTGTGTGTCCATTGCTTCTTTTTAACTCTGTGTAGAAAATTATAATGTAAAATACAGAATTTTTATAGTGATTTCAGTTATTAGTAGCTCAGGTACCTCATTAGTGGGATTTTCATACTGCATGCATTGCTATAGGAATTAAAATGACTTTTTTGCAGTCCAGTATGAAAACAATCCTGTGCAATGCAAGTTAACAGAAAACTATAGAATTAATCATCTATTGGATTAGTTATATGGTCACCCACTCACCAATGCAACTCAGAGCAACTAGCAAAAAATTTAAACTCTCAACTGTTTCAACTAATAAAAACCTAAGGCATCAGCCAAAGACAATTTATATATTCAAATAATTGAAGGTATGGGTTTACCTAACCTCCTTGCCTAGTTATAGAGATTAGAGTCAATCTATATACATTTTAATTGTTCATAAGGATATTTTGATATAAATGTCTTCTATAAAGTCTCCTCTGTCCTTTAATTATACACTGAGAGATTTTCTGTCTTAACAGTAGTGGAACAAAATGCAAATATTTACTGATTGGAGCAAAGTTCTCATGTATATAGAGCTGGGGACATGTGGCTTTCCTCTCCTGGATCAGTTTTAAAATACTAGTTTTGATTTCCTCACATATAAAACAGAGATACTGATATTAATACATAAATGCCCCCAAAGGATCACTAGTTCATTTTGGAGGATGTTCAGTAAATAAAGGGGCTGACAGATGACAACTGATACATCCCTGTGACCCTAAAGACAAGCAACCATGGTAGAAGTCTCTGGAGATTCTCAGTCATCCAAGTCATAGTTATTCTAAAAGTGCTTTTTCAGGAGGCAATTGGACTTTCTTGTTTTTTCTTTTAAAGATGTTTCACTTCTCATCCAAGAAACTTCTTCAGCTCTACAGGATAGTGGAGAATGGAAGGAGTTATATTCCTTGCAAAAAGCTGGTAACAGGAATCAGGAACACTACTCAGGTGACCCTGAGGACACAGATAAACCTCCAAGTGCTTCAACTATGCTCTGAAAGGGTGCAGTTTACCAGCTGTCTGCAAGGAATATAAATCCTTTCATTCCCCAGTATCCAGTCAGCTGAAGAAGCTTCTTGGATGAGAAGCAAAATGTCTTCAAAAGAAAAAACAAGAAAGTCCAGTTGCCTCCTGAAAAAGCACCTTTGGGACAGCCATAGTAGAAGATATTTCCAAACTCTGTTTTCAACTTAGCAGTGGGTCTTGGGTTCCAAAGTATTTTTTAAAAGTTAATATTGTAAATAGAGTTTTAACCTGTCTGTAGATTAAGCTGCCTTTTCTCTCTTAAATGATTTTTCTCTCTTACTCCTACACAGAGTGGTTTGGTTTCATTATATTGTAAGCTTAAAATCTAGATGAAACTGTATCCATTAATTTTAGGGTCAAAGATAGTTGCCATTGAATTATTTCAGGAGTATATACTATGGCAGTTAGTTTAGCTTTAATTAAATAACATTTACTTTTATTTAAATAAAGATGAATGGGACAAGATTTTAGCATCAGTTCATGAAAACCGTACTTTCAAGATAGTTCAAAGTAGATCAGAGCAATTTTTCTTTATTAAGTCTAAGGTATCAAAAGTCAAATCTATGCAGTTTATAACCATACATATTCAAAATTGTTCCAGGGAAAGACTTTTGATTGTAAAGGTAAGCCAAAGCTCCTGCTGCTTCAGAGTATTGTTCTGTAATTTCCAGATGCTAGTTTTCCACATATGAAGAATGCATTAAATGTAATTTAGATCTTGAAGTACCATATACTTTAATTAGCTCTTGTTGTTTCCTCTTGCTGTGCATAGCTAAAACTCACTATACATGACAGGAAATCTTTTAGAAATACATTTCAAACATAATTTTGAAAGTGATTAAAATTCTGCAGCTTCACTTTAAAAATTTCAATTATATTTTCATTACCAAACAGGGACATTGCCAGTGCAATAAAGGAACTTCTCGATACAGTAAATAATGTCTTCAAGAAATACCAATATCAGAACCGGAGGGTATGTGAATTAATTTCTACTATAGTGCCTCATCAGAAATATAATTAAGTACAAGCATTACAAATATACGCAGCTTCATATTCAGATAATATAAATTGTAAACATAATTTTTCAATTAATACAAACTGGCAAATAAAAAGACAATCAGAATGATGAATAGAGTTTTTTCATTCTATGTGGATTTTTAATCAGTAATGACTGCTTTAAAGTTTAATATTTCTATTGTTTGTAGAATTAATACTTTACAAACATTAAGCAAAAGTCATTGTAGAAGTACCTTTTCATCATTTAAATTGTGGATTTTGCCATTTCCAACATTTATTGTATACCTTTTCTCATCTTGTTCTGTGTTCATTGACTAAAACATAATGTCCGAGAAAAAATGAAAACTTTAATTACTATTTACATAAACTTTTTCAGGCACTTGAACACCAAAAAAAAGAATTTGTAAAATACTCCAAAAGTTTCAGTGACACTTTGAAAACTTATTTTAAAGATGGAAAGTAAGTATATATTTCTTTTTTTAATTTATTTATTGGGTGACTATTTCCTTTTTTTTTGTCTTAATAATTTGTATTCCAAAATACTTTGCAACAATCTTAACACCTTAATTGCTCCATCAGTTCCAGTTTAGCAAAGCATGAAAAAAATTGGACAGATTGTAACATTTGCTTTTTAAACTTACGCATCAATGAGTCTACTTAATTTTTAATTCTCCTTGGGAATCTACAGCATCACTGTTCTAATAGTAATTATGTCTTCCTTTTCATCCTTGCTAAAAACAATCTTAGGAGGGAACACATTCCCATGGGGACCCCTAACAGATGGGGTGGAGTGGGTGGTCAGAAGATATTTGCAGTAAAGCGGGCATGTATATCCATTGTCTCTGAAGCTGTTTCTTGTTCTTTTCAAAACTTTGTTTTTGGCACATCTCTATGATACCTTTCATTCTCTTTTCTTGCAAGGAAAGAACCTATATCATTTACTAGAGGCTGGAAATAATCTCTTATAGAGGGCTTTGGAAGCAGACTAAAATTTCATGACATTAGACCAAAGACCCCATGTCAATATATAGAGTAACACATTGTTCTTTCATAACCTAAAATATATGGAATTTTCAAAATGGGAAAAATCACAAAAGTATCAATCCTCCGACTCGGCTATCAATTATTTCATATTTATGAGTGCTCTGACAAAAGATTTTTAACAATCTAATAAAAGAAGGGAAACAATAGGAATTTTTCCTTGTCTAGAAACAAAGATTTCACTTATCAAAATGAACGACAAATTTCTATAGCTATAAAGTTGAGATTCTCCAGTAGATACGAATTTTTGGTAACTGTATGAACATGTCTAGGAATGTGGAACTCTTTGGATCCAAAACCTGAAAAAAAAAGGGCTTCAGAGTGAATGTGCATGCATCTTTTAGCACATCCTTAAAGGAGTTGTGACTTTTCCTGGGTTTTAAAGAGTCACCAAGAGGTATGGTATTACCCCCCCACACACCTTTTTTTTTGGTTGACATTCCAAATTGAAAGCATATTTCTAGACAAGTGTGTGGTTTTCTTGAGAATAATGTAGAGTTTGCTATTGTCTTCTATCAATTTTCTTTTTAATGGCTCAATCTACCATATTTTCTGGACTATAGAGCGCATCGGAATATAAGCCGCACCCACTAAATTTTAAAAGAAAAAAATATTTTTACATCTATTAGCCACACCAGACTGTAAGCTGCAGATATATACGTTGTGAAATGAGATATTTACACAGAAAGAGAAGAATGCTCTTCGCATGCAGCCAGACGTCTCCAACGTCTCACCATTGATTCATTAACGCCAAGCTTACGTGCAGCAGCTCTATTTCCTGGATAGACAGATTGATTGCTTGCAACTTAAAAGCTGCATCATATGCTTTTCTTCATGTACTTTCCATGATGAGGGTGTGAAAAATATTTTGCGTTCGTGCGTGTCGTGCTGCTTGCGTTGAGCGCACCAAAAACTACCGGTAGCATCTTTTTCTTTGCATTGACCTCTCACGTCTGTCAGGTTTTTGCGCCCCCTGATGGCAGTTAGCGAAGAAAAATCTATCTATAGATAAGCCACATTGTTGTACAAGCCGTAGGGTTCAAAGCGTGGGGAAAATGTAGCGGCTTATAGTCCGGAAAATACGGTAACCTATAGCCCCAGACTTACATTCTCTGGGGTCTCTTGTAATGCACTCTGACCCGGTGTTGTTTTTATGGGAATAGAGCAAGTTGGCTATGTGCTTGCTGCCTCCTACTGACTACAAGCTAAATGGGATTTCCATAACAGAAATAATTTATTTTTAAAGGCTGATAAAAGGAAGAACCACTCCTCGCATCCAAGTATGATAGCTTGTTGCTTAGATACAAAGTCACTGTGTGCTTCTGAATAACAATTGTTGGAGGAAAAATCTGGAGGGAAAACTGTTGTATTTCGGCTCTGTTTCCAGATTTTCAAGAATCATCTGATAGGCCATAATTGGTTACAGGATATTGGTACCCTCAACATGGTATATGTAGTAGCAAGACATTTGTCTGGTTTGTACAAAAATATGAGACCACCTGGAATTCTAGCACTGGGAACAGGGTAATAACAAACTCCTAATGTTTTGAAGAAAGTTACATAAATATAGTTCCAAGTTCTGTGCAGGTATGAAAAGAGAAGCATATATTACAAAATGTATGAGTAGTGCTTTGAAAGCAACAGAATACAATCCATATTAGAAGCCGCTGAAGAACAATTTTAATACTGTGTAGTGAGGAGGAAAAATCCCATCTGTTCTTTGACCTTGCTTGTAATTGTAGCTAGCCAAACAATGCTAATACTCGAAAAGTCTCCAGGTTTTTTCCACTATTCCATTGATTTAGCTTTTTTAGTAAGTCATTATTCTGAATTGTTAATGTACATCCAAGGAATTAACTTCGTTTGCCCATGGATAAATGTAAGCAAAGAAAGTTAAGTCGATTTGGGGGATGGGGTTTTGTTTTTTGTTTTAAATAGAATTATAGAGTTGGGAGCATTCATTGAATTCATTTAGTTATGAATTTCAGTTCAGAAATCAAAATTAAACATCTCAGATGGGTGGCTATCTAACCTCCACCTGGACAGTCATCTCTCTTTAGGTAGCTGACTCCACTGTCAAAGTATTCTTAGTCTTAATATATAATTTATCTTCCTCTGACTTAAATAAGAACTAACAGACAGCGACATTTGGTCCTCCCAAGTGCTTATATATTCCTCTTCAATCATCTTTTATGAATGCTGAAAGGTTAAAAATATTCTTCTGCTTCAAATTCTCTTCAATGGAGTTAATGTCTAATCCTTTGATCATCGTTGTTGTCTCTGAAGTTGTTTCAACTTTTTATGAGTACAGGTAATCCTCAATTTATGAACTTTATTTTGGAAAAGACCACCCATTTAGGAGAATGGGTTTGCTCTTACCAGCTACAGCATTTGCTTATCAACCACAAATTTATTTAATGACCACTGACCACAAATATTGCAAAAAATGTTGGGTGCCTTGACTTATGACATAAGTAATGACTTATGAGTAGAAATCCAGTCCAATTGCAGTCATAAGTCAAGGACTACACTATACTTTTAACCCGGGCTTAAAGTGAAATATGATCAAAGGTGAATAGAGTGGAACTATTATTTTCAATTATTTGGAAATTGATGATGTCTAAGATTGCACTTGCTATTTCTCCTCCTATATTTGTGCATTCAGAGTATATTTTCTGAGTTAAGAACTTTGCATTTATTTCTGTTAAATCCCATTCTGTTGCATTCTACCCATTTCTACAACTATCAATATTGTTTTGAATTTTAGTTCTGTATTCTAGCTGTCCCAATTTTGTATTATATATAAATTTGATAGGCATTTCTATCTTAAAATATTAAGAGCCACATTTGATCTTTATGACACATCACTTGATATCACAGTCCAATTTGTTGCAAATACATTGATGAGCATTTCTTGAATATCATTTTCTAAGTCTAGGTATATATCTACTTATTTATTGTGCTGTCTAACCCATACTTAGATTACTTGTTGGTCAGCATGTCATGGGATACTCTTACTAAGTGCTTTGGTCATGTTATGTTTATTACAATCTATTAAGGAATTAACTTAATTAACCAACAAGAAATGTTTATTGTTGAGAAATAATTGCTAGTTTCTAACAATTACTGATTTTTTTTTCAAGGATACCTACCTCTTTATGATTTGTTTTAGGATTTCTGCAGGTATTGACATCAGAATGATTGTTCTATAGCTTGCTGGATTTTCCTTTCCCCTCTTTTTGAAAGTATTAGTAAGTGGTTAGGGATCAAAAGGTGCTTTATTTTTCTGTAGAATTTCTGAAACATCATACTTGAACTCAGAAAGACATTCATGTAGGTCCCTAAGTAAAACAGGATGTAATTAATCTCTTCCTAGAGATTTATTTGGAAACAACTGAACACAAGTGGACTTGAGTAGGACTGCCTTTTCTTTGTTACTTAACAGCATTTTACCTTCCCTGGGCAGCTGCTCTATTGATTCTTTTTCCTTTTATTTTGAGCATATTTAAAGAAGCTATTTTTTGTGTGTTATTTTTAGTATCTTTTGTACCTTTTCCCCTAATCTCAACTAATTCTGAAGTTTTAATTTCCCGTATGTAGTTTATAGCTGTGCCAGCTCTATAGTTCTGAGTTGGTGGTACTTTTCCTTTTTTTATGATATGGATCTCTTTCCGGGTAGATTTTAAAATGAATACCCTAAACTGGCTTTTTCCTTGTGTTAATTTCATTCTGCTATCAATATAACCATTCAGAGTTTTTCCTTTAGGCCATCAGACTTTATTTCTTTAAGTTCTTTATCAACTTTTAATTTCTGTCATTATTGGAGGTAATTTTATTCAAAATGTGTTTTGAAAAACCCTTTGGGATCTAACTTATTTGAATTTGTATAAATATTATAATTATCTATAATGCTTCTTATGACTTAAAAGGTAGTATATACAATAAGTAATGGCTTAAATGTATCCTTTCTAGCCCCTTCAAAACCTGGTTACAATTGTTACTGATTTGCTATAACTCTGTCCTACTCCTTAATATAACAGAAGCTACAAATGATTAACAAGTTGTGGAGTAATCATCTTCACTGTAGCTGATAAATTTCTTTCATCAAGTATATTCTCTTCATCAGCCCAGAAAACACAAACATTTTCAGCCAATATTGCACAAATTTTACCAACCGGCCATTAGGCTACAAGATTCAGATTTTTTTATTTTCATGATCTTGAAATCATATTTCCTGATAAACATATATGTTGACTCCTTTGCTGATTCGTCTACTTTCCTCACTGAAAATGTTTAAAGCACTGAATTTGGATGGGTGTTTTTACCAGATTGCAAGGTTTTGGAATAAGTAGCTTTTATAAACGAGGGAAAATTCATATCCAAATCCATATGCTGTTTTGCATAACTAGGATCACTTTAGCAGGAATTTGATTTACAAGCGAATGGTGTATACCAATGGAAAATAATTTTTGTAGTTCAAGGTTGAACTGTGGGGTCCTTGAGCAATCTGAGCTCAGCACTAATGGTGTTACCTAGCTGGATAATGAAATCTGCAAAAAAGCAACAAGTTCAGAGAGCACCAAGGATCCCATGGGATATTCTTGTATTCAGAAACAATGTCCATTGAATTCATTGAGGGGGATAAGTAAGTATAGGATTGCAACATGGTAACTTGGTTCTTTTAACAACATCAATTTTCTATTGTGAATTAACTGTTAGCATTTAATAAAGGATTCAATATTTTTCTCATTTAAGAAAAGATCTCTAATTATTTTCAGAGTTAGAGTATTAAAAAAAATCTTCAACCAGAATTTTATATTGTTGAACTTCCTTTGTGAAATACTGTTGTATATTTTAATACTGCACTCCAGAAGCAGTGTATAGGATTTCATTGTAAAAATTAGTTGTATTTGGTATGATGGCTTTCTATTCTGTATAAATTTATCTTGTTGCTAATATGTCTCCTTTTTCTGTTTTTCTTTATAATAGGGCAATAAATGTGTTCATAAGTGCCAACCGACTAATTCATCAAACTAACTTGATACTCCAGACCTTCAAAACTGTGGCCTGAAAAAAAAACCTGTATAGGTTGAGAGCTGTAGTTTTCAATGACTGATAGGATACCTTTATATGTAAACTTTAAAGTTTTGACTGTGTAAATTATCAATCCCACTTGAAGGGACTTAATGCAGGATTTGAATGGGATTTATTGCCATCTTACACCATATTTTTGTAAAAACATAGCTTAATCATAATCACACAATGAAGATTTTGCATCACTTTTTTGCTATTATTCTTTTCAGAATTATAAGCCAAAAGAATTTACGCCTTAATGTGTCATTATGTAACATTCCTTATAAGAACTGTAAATATTTGGTGTTCTGTTTCTGACATTTTAACTTGAAAGCGAAAAACTGCAACAGAATTATGTATTTAACAATATTGGTGGCAAATATTCAATAAATAGTTTACATCTGTTTATCTCTAATTTTATCCCATAATGGTGTCCTTCAACCTAAAATCAGCGGGGTGATGTACATACGTCTTCAGAGTTCATACAAAGAATGATGTCCTTTTAAGAAGATCAAATCTTAGACAGCATCTTCAAAGTTTTCTGCACAGAAATTCACTCTTAACTACTGAGTCTTTCCCTCAAAGCTTGTTTTTTTTTTCCAAATTATTTTTAGAGTAAATTATTATATTACCAAAGAATTCATCATTAGAGGTGGCGTGAGCTGCAGGACCTCTTTGGGGAGGGAAAGTAGATGTGCAGGTGTGTGTGTGTTTGTGTGTGTGTGTGTATGGTATTCAGCTTTGATTGGGTATTTTCCCACATCATTATAGTTGTGCTTTTAAAGTTGTAGCAACGTTTCGGCAGAATCTCATCTGCCATCATCAGGCTTCTGTATTGTACTGTACTGCCTGATGATGGCAGATGAGATTCTGCTGAAACATTGCTACAACTTTAAAAGCACAACTATAATGACGTGGGAAAATACCCGAACAAAGCTGAATACCATACATGTAAGTACCCACGAAAACTCAAGAATACACACACACACACACACACACACACACACACATGAATGATACCTGGTGCCAGGGTATGGTGTATGTTTGTTTTGACTATATAATCTCTGAAAATTATTCAGAATTGTGAGAGTGTGATTGATTAAGAGGTGTATTTCTGAGCTTTTCACAATCAACGCAGCCTCCATTTGATACACCTTGGTGTACTAATTTAGCTTCACTGAAAATTAAGAAATTTACTTAATTTGAAGTAAATATTCTGGTGGAAATATCTCTTCGCATTTGACAGTGTAACAAAAGCAAAATTGGAGTTTGCCCAAAAGAGCTTGGCATTTAATTTTGATAACAAAAACCAATGAAAGAAAAAGAGGTGAAGATAACATGCAGGCTGCCCATATCACTGTGCTAGAAATTATATTTAATAAAGTATTGCATTTATATCAATGTAAGAGATCAAGTCGTCTCATTTGTGCATTTAATATGTATGTTTAAATAAATGGTTTAATATCTATGCTGTTTAATATTAGTATAACAATCTGAATGATCGCTACTGTCAGCTGTCATGCTAGGACAGCTGATTTCCAACAAATTCATTTGTTTGTTGTAGAGCTGTCATGCTAGGATCTCCTTTTTACATGTCTTTGTGAGCAGCTTATCTATATTGTGATCATGCCGTTTGCATTACTTTTTTTTTCTTTCACCACTATTTCTGCAAGAATAATAAGAATGATTTTTCGCAATGTCTTAGTTAAGCATTGGTTGTATAACTCCTTTAATAGAGTTTTTTTTGTACATTTTTGGAACGGAGAAAAATATTCAGCATCATGTACAAGTACTCAACTTAGGATCACGATTGAACCCAAAATGTAAGAGTGATGGTGGTAAAGCAGGTAACCATGCGACCTGACCTGACCTTACACCTGCATCATGGCTTTGCCCAGTGGGATTGTTAAGGGATTGTGCATGTTGTGATGAACTGACTTCCAAAGAGAGGGAGGTAGCTCTCTCAAAGAAGTTGAGTAAAAGAGACCATTTTCACCCAGGCTCTTTGAAAGGAAAAAAAAAACCATTGCATGCTTGAGAGATTCTGCCCTGCAAAAGAGGACTTTATTGGTGGTAGACCCTTCTCCGTGCAGCATATTCCTTCCGAAGTACGATTGGCCCCCATCTTGCTACTATTTCAAAAAACCATGAAGACCTGGTTTTGTCAGCAGGCATGGAAATCAGTGGAGATGGAGCCGATCAAGTAGTTAATTTGATTGTGTTGCTTCCATGGGTGTCAGAGTTTTATAGGTTTTTATATTGTGGGTTTTTAATGTTATAAGCTACCCGAAGTCACTGAAGTGCGTTGGGCATTCATATACATTTGTCTAATAAATAATAAATCTGGCTGGCAATTTTAACCATAATATCCAGATGTCCTGTTCTTCCAGGACATCTTCGGTTTGCGAGGTCCTTACCGCAAGACTGTCCCTCTCCTGTCCCCCCTCCCTCCCTCCCTCTCTCAATCTCTCTCTCCTTGGTTTTCATTTCACAGACATGTTATTGTAATACAAAATATGGTTTAATGACTGTAACAGGTGTCCTATTAATCTTGGCTTCTGTAAATATTGTGTGTTCCTGATTACAGTCTTCTTGCTAATCTAATGCTAGTTCCTCTTATCTGAGTATTGGTTAATAGGTATATGATAAGGAAGAAAATGTTCGGGGCTTCTGAAATTATGATGTTAAATTTCAGCAGCACAATGGCAAATATTTAGCAATGCAATTTCAGCTGCTGAATATAAATAACACCTTCTAAAGGCACCCTGTAGTTTCTATTCCAATTCCACTGCTGCCACCAGTCATATTTTTTCCTAGCAAAAGTTTTCCAGCTCAAAAATTCTGAGACCTTTATGCATGCCCTATATATTTAAGATCTCCACAGATCTTAATATTCAACTCTGGCGAGTATGAAGGCTACTCCAAAACATCCCCCTCCCTCAAGGACTTCATGGTTGTTTTGGAGATTTATCTTCAGTCTTGCTAAAATATCTAGCCTCTTCAGCTTCAGTTTTTTTCACTGATAAGCCAAATGTTAGCTACAGAAAATGTTCAGAAGCTGTTGTGTTTTCACTTTTTTCAGTGTCATTGTAACTCCAAATGGTCATTAAGCAAATGGTTATATGTTGAGGATTACTGCAATATAATTCCTGTCATAAATACAGGAAGTTGCTTGATGTTAACTAGATTCAACCTCATCATGTTAAACCATTTCATAGTTGTTCACTTGGTATTTGCAAACATGGCTGTCTCATCTGACTGCCTTATCTATTAGCTACAGGTGGTCCTTGATACAGAGCAGATGGAAGCTTTATCCCAACTCCAAATTTCTTCTGTATTGCTCTTTACCAAAATTGATTGGAATTTTTTACTTCACAGGGATACAGCACAGACATTCATTGTAAAGCTGTGACATTTTCTGTATATCCTTGGATTAATCTCAGCAATAGGGGAGAAATTGAGCTCTTGACTTCAGAGCAAAAACAAAACCAAACAAAAGCTTAATCCTCAAAAGTAGTTTCTACGCACAATGACTACTACAAAGGGACCCCGTGATTCTTACTAGAAAGTGCAATGTCTAAAATAGAGGAAAAGATCAAAGCATTCGGTTTTACTTGAAATGCAGGCATCAAAAGATAGCTAGATCCTTGTACATGTTCAGGCTTTGTGTGAGTGCCTTTATTTTTGCAATTGCCAAAATTTTGGATCAGCTAATCGTGCTTCAGTGCCTCATTGACTTTCCAACTGATGTTTATTACGGAGTAAGTCCCCATGTGATCTGTGTGGTTTCCTGTCAGGGAAATGTGTATAAGAGAACTTTCCTCAAGCATGAACAGATTATGTAACTGAATGAAGAGAAAAGTTTCTTGAGTTAGATAGAACATTCCCAATGGGGTATTATTTCTTTGGTTCCACATTTTGATTAAAAAGCTGGTGAAGATGTTTCCTTTGATCAACAATTATATATGTTTTACAACTGAAATCCAGTTAGTTAAAATCAAACTATCGAAATTACTTTTTTGTGTGGGGGGGCCTAAATCCTTCTGTTTAGGACAGTGTTTCTTAATCTTAAAATATATGGATATCAACACCCAGAATTCCCCAGCCATGCTGGCTGAGGAATTCTGGAACTTGAATTCCACATATCTTAGACTTGCTAAGATTGAGGAACACTGGTTTAGGATACCTTCAATATGAACTATTTTTAACTCAATGTCTGATTTTTGGAGATTGTCTGAACAAGTCCTTGCAGTTTTCTTGACAAGGTTTTTTTAGAAGTGAATTGCTGTTTCCTCCTCAGAGCTGAGAAAAAGTGATTGGCCCAAGGTCACCCAGCTGGCTTTGTGCTTAAGGTAGGATTAGAATTCACAGTTTCCCAGTTTCTAGCCTGTTACCTTAACCACTAGCCAAAATTAGTTAAGAAAATTAACCTTAAAATTGAACAAACATGGGGTTGTTTTGCTGCTGAAGCATGTTAGGCAGCTGCCCTGGAGTGATCTTACCAACTGGGAACCCCCAGTTCTGAAAAACCTTCATTGGCATCCCTTTATTGGGCTTTAAGCCAATGTTTTATTTTCCCTAGGTTTTTTAATAGTTGTGCTGCAGTGCAGATTTTTTAATTAATTTCTGCTATTTGAGTTTTTGCTGCCTGGAAATTATTACAGGTTACATAAATTATGAAGGGACACACACACATAAATGCACATAGTAGGAAAAAGGAGATAGAACATAACTTCATCCTTGCAAACTATTGTAATATAAAATAAAATTTCATACAACAATAAACAGTGTTACTTTTCTTAAATGTCTTAATATTAGCCTGACTATTCATTTTTTTATAACAAAGGTCTCAAATTATGCATAGGTTAATCTTTCTCCTTTTTTGATCCTCAACCATCTAGATTTATTTGTGTTTAGTGAAAAAGAAAGGTTGGGTCTCCTAGCACTTTAATTGCTAAGACATATAATATCCATGTTTCCTCAAAGAATAAGACCAGATCTTATATTAATTTTTGCTCCAAAAGATGTATTAGCACTTATTTTTCAGTTAGGTCTTATTTTCAGGGAAAACTAGCAGAGTTGTGGATTCTGTTGTCCATTTTGAGATGCAAAGAGTGTGTCTCCTACTGCTACTAGTACTATACTCCTAGTACTATTATGCACAGTTAACTAGTTCTGAAATAAAATGCAGAAAATGAAATGGACAGGATAAGGATTGTTCTTAGATAGTCTGTTATACTAAGCATCTGGGGGAGGAGGAATTTGAAGTAGTACTACCGGTAGATACTTTCAGATTATATCAATATATTTATTAGAGGGGGGCAGTGCTTTTTAGTTGTGTTAGTCCACGTTAAACTCTGCAGTGCGTAGATCCTTTATTTCAAGAGTGGGCACCTGGGCCTATATACATGCCTC